TAAAATTCATTATATAATTTAAAAGTCGATTGGATTCTAAGAATTTCGGTAAAGATTCGGCAAGTACTTGTATACTACTAGATATTATTATTGGAGTATTAGTGATTTATTGCTGCACTGCTTGTACGGACTGGTCTGTTCGGGTTACGAACACTTATTAGACTATTAGCTTTTGCAATAGCATATGCTGGTGGTCACTCTATTCTTCCAAATTTGAATTTAAAATAGAATCTGTGTTATTGTAAACATGTACCTACAACATTTATTTAAAAAGAATACGAGCTAAGTTTCTTGTCAGTTCTTCTCATCTCGAAATCACTCCGAACTGACGACGGTAGATTTGACATATCATAAGTCTGTGATAGACCTACATGAATAAAGATATTTTTAATTTGAATTAAAACCAGGATCTATTCATAAAATGTTCTGGTATATGTCTATCTCATTTCTAGGCTCCATTTTTTTTTGCTAAGGGATATATAAAATTTTGTTTGAGATAGACTTTGGCGTAGAATAAAATCATCGATATCGATAAACTGCATTAATGTTAACATTCCTATACACAAATTGTTGTATGGTCGTAGTAGATTAGCGTGTCCACCCTCTCCCCTTCCCCCCACTTATCCCAATCAATCTCGAACGCAAACTCGCTTAATTTAGCGATGAATTTCCAATTAACCACTCGTTATTATATCATCGGTGCTCGCTTTTGATCTCGACTGCGTCTTTAAAGGGTATAATGATATTTCATTACGTTATTGCTAATTGTTTTTCGTGTATCGATAAATCGATATAATTATGAAATAATTGTGGAAATCCCTTAATTTAAAATTGTTTTATTGACACTAATTATTTTGATTCAACGTAAAAAATATTACTATATCAGCAAGTATATTGACAATAGTATTGTTTCCATTATAGTAAATATACGAAACGGTATATATAAAGCCAATTGTTATTTTAAGTATCATAGATTTACTTATTTTATTATTATTACACCTATGATGGCAATCAAGCATTCGGCCCATCTGATGGTAAACGGTTACCGTAGTCTATGGACGCCTGAAACACCAGTGGGTGTCACGTGCGCGTTGCCGACCCTTAAGAAACTTAAGAGTGTAAAGTAAAATTAGTTGTTTAATGTGCCATTGAAGTAAAAACAGAAAGAAACTTTGATATATCCTTCTTGAAAACCCCATTCTGTAGTCTCTTGAGATACTTAAATATTATTTCTATTTCTATTATCTACATGTAATGTATGTAATTTTTATATCTTTATATATTTAAATTACCTACGTGTCATATTGTTTATCCGCGATGGACTCCTATATTACTTTGATTAGCACATTGTGTGCAATTTGGTCCAACTTGAAAGACAGGATAGCTTACATCTCAATTTATAGTCGCAATATTATTTTATTCAAGAACCTTAGCCACGGCACCGCATGGCCGGGTCGGCTATTATTATTATTATATCATTTATTTCGGATATGTAATGTTAATAAACAACTTATAAACTATGTTAGTAAATTACAATTTTATTCATTTCATTGATATATTTATGTCTATGGCCACGTTCAGAAGCCCTGGGTCCGCAGCAATGCAGCGATATCCAGTGCCCCTGGAGTGGACAATCCGACATATTTAATATGGTGTTTAGGAGGTTGTTTGCGCTCCCCCGAATTCTACACATTAGTGATGCAGTTCTATTTCGCATTATGGCTTCAAAACCATTTATCCGCGCTGCTGCAAACATCTCTGATGCGCTACAGAACCGAGAGAGCCCAAACAACATCCTAAACCTATTATTATATTGTACGCGAAGAGCGTTGTATGCCCTCTGCTTATATAACTACAATATACATACATGGTAGATATTTACAATAGATGTTAATTTATTACATAAATATAAAAACTACAGTATACAGCGGGCCCTACAATACATATACTAAACAACGGTGCAGTAATACATTTACGTGATTGCAGCGTCCACTGAATATTTAACGTGAACAGACAATTAAATCGAAAAACTGTTCACATGTTTGTTGCACGCTAGTCGCCAGAATGGGTTTTAATTATATGTTAACTTTTTAAAAGCAATTCAATTTTGTAATGTAAATTTTTCATTAAATATCTGATATTCGTGTGTAGTGCACTGTACTTTTTTATGTAGTATTCTTTATAGGAAAATGCTTAAATTTATTATTTTAATCAATTTGATTTGAGGAGCTGGTGTTTGAAATAGATCACCATTGCCTTGCCTTTATCCCATTGTTTGGGGTCGGCGCAGTATGTCTTTCTCTTCCACTGCTCTCTATCGGTCGTCATATCTGAACATACTCTACTATTATTCATATCATCTTTCACACAATCCATCCATCTTTTCTTAGGGCGTCCCCTCCCTTTACATCCATCCACATTCATGAAATAGGTATAATCTGTAATACACATTACCAGGCCCCCAACCGAAATGTGATATAAGTTAAATAAATTATGATGTTTATAATACACTAAATAAACTATATATACAATGTTTAGAGATAATAATGTAATTATAATAATATTTATTAGGTAGAATTAATGTTACTAACATTATAAGCGCGAAAGTTTTTAAGTATTGATGGATATATGGTCGGATGGATGTTTGTTACTCTTGAATGGATTTTAATGAAACTTTACAATAATATAACTTACTAGCTTTATTTGTGTAGATCTTTTCATTTGCATCACACTTACTTGATATTTATATGTATCATATTTAGATTTATATATAAAATTCTCGTGTCATAGTTTTCGTTCCCATACTCCTCCGAAACGGCTTGACCGATTCTCATGAAATTTTGTGAGCGTATTGAGTAGGTCTGAGAATCGGCCAACATCTATTTTTCATCCCCCGAAATGTTAGGGGTAGTCCACCCCTAAATTTTTATTTTTATTTTATGGCAAAACAACGTTTGCCACTGGACATTGGACAGCTAGTATTTAGATAATATTATTTTTATTGTAACCTAAGCTATACTACTGTAAAATTTAATCAAAATACCTTAAATAATTTTTGTCTGAAAGAGTAACAAACATCCATCTATACTCACAAACATTCACATTTATAATACAATATTAGTAACATATATCAGAGATGGTAAGGAAAAAAATATAATATAAAAAAAATTACGTTCATAAGCAGCTAACATGTCCTACATGAATAAATGATTTTTTTTAATTTGAATAGAATAACTCACTCTATAAATTTCACGCGAGTAAAACCGCGGGCAAATAGGTACCTACTAAAAGTTGACAAGCCTTAGTTCTCCAGACTACATAAGAGGTATTAAAATGTCCGGGATACTGTTCCTGTAGGTCTCGATTATGTACGTAAAAATACCACTTTCCACCAAGTGGGTCGCCAGTTGAAATCTGTAAGACTTTCGCCCAAATCTTATAGATAAATGCAAAATATGTATTATTAATGCGAATATATGTCTGTGTGTTTATCACATTTTCACAACTAAACAGCAAAGTGGATCGTACTGAAATTTAATATTTGATACTATATTTTAGGTATATCAATAAATAATCTAGAAAGCTAATAAATAAGGATTCAAAGTTTGTGCAGACCAAGTCACGTGTAACAGCTAGTATTATATAAATTAAATAGATACAGAAAAAATTAAGTTATCATAACTTAGTTATCTCATACAAAAACCAGTAGCTTATTCTAAAGTTAACCCGTCGACTGCCGCTGCTAACAATCACTGAATGTGAACGCTCCAACAAAAGAAACGTAACGACAAAAGAAATCGCGGGAAAAGAAAAAAAAGAAACAAGCCACGCGATTGGTCGATCTGCGCGTGACGTCACGCTCGCCCCGCCCCCTAGCAACGGTCGCTACACCTGAGATGAGAGTGAGTGAGATAATCGTAAGTGCGAATAAGATAAACTTATATTGACGATGGGATATGTACGTTATAGAACGACACATGTCTCTGTTCTCTCCTATTGAAAATGAATTCTTAAATACATTACCGAAAGGTACAAATTTATTTGTCAAAATAGAGTGGTTTGTGATTATTATTGATGTTGAAGTGGTCAGTTGGAAAAGCTGTTATTGTTTGGTTACGGGTTAACCGATTTGGTTAAATTTGTGTGTTAACAGGCAGATGTCCGGTGATTCTCTGTCTCTTTTTAACTTACGTATGCTAATTGAATGACCTCTTGATTGGGGTATTGATTAATCTGATTAATTTCTATTGAGTTAGTTAGCTTATTAACTAGCTGGCCCGCGCAACTTCGTCTGCGTATTCTGGTCTCATTTTTCAATGATGCTTCATATGATATATCTGTACAATAAAGAATATATAAGAATATATATATAGTTTAGCTTTCCTTGAAAATAATCTATGAAATAGAAAAAAAATTCAATTCGAACCAATAGTTTCAGAGACATGCACGTTCAAACAAATAAAAAACTCTTTAACTTACAACATTAGTCTAGATTTAAATTAAGTTACCTATTCAGTTGCTTTACTAACATAGGTAGATAATAATGTCAACATCATACAAGAAGTATTTCCGAAATAATAAAAATATAAACTACTAGACTAAATAAAACCTTATTTCTAAATAAGAAAGAAACATTCAAAACCCCGAATAGATACAACCATCACACAAAACGTAACAAAACTGATAAACTCCCTGAGTGCCCTCAAAGAAATCGCTAACAACTCCCGGCAAAGCTCTAACACCTAGTACAATCGACCCAATCAAACCGAAAAAAAAAACTATTCAACCATAACCTCTCAATACCGCTCAAAGAAGTTCCGAGGGGAAAATGCTAATACGCTGCTTCTTGGTTCTTACCAAACAAAATCACTTCGCGACCCCAAATTTCGCACTTTCAATGGGCAATTTCGTTTACCCCCCTTTCTTTAGGCCCCGCCTCCTCGTCTACCCCGTACGGGGCACGAAAACGCGCGGCAGTGACGTACGAGAACCGAGTCGTCATGGACGCGTCCGAGGAACGTTACTTCGGCAACCAAACGCCGGATCGCTCGGAAAGCAACAGTCCGCGATCGCAAATGAGCAGTCCAAACTCAACGTCATCAATCAATGTGACTGATCAATCTATATCGTTGACACAGCATCAGCAAAATTTAGAGACGCTAAACCGTATGGGAATGTTCTTTCATGCACAGCAGATGCATCTTAACCAGAGTTTCGACGCCGTTAAGTCTAGATTGGGTTTGACACAAGTGCCTACAAGTGTTAATCAGGGACCGAGGCATACGATAGACGCTATATTGGGACTGAACGGTGGACGGCAAGTTAGTAGAGTGCAGAGTGAGTTTGAACAGAGAAGAGAAGAGAGGGAGTGCGAGGCGGTGCCAGTGTCGCCGGGAGCTGTGGAAAGTGCTGGTAAGTAAATTATCGTTTAGATAAGCAGAAGTATATCGTATAATAACATATCTGATTTGACGGCATCTGTGATCTTTCGGTTTAGTGCACTACTTTACTTCCGATAGTCATGGGTTCGATCCCTCGCACGGTACAAACATTTGTAGATTATTTATATAGGTATAAGTGTTTTCTATGTATATTGTATATTTATTTACCTATATATAAAAATATGTCTAAGTATATCTATCAGTTATCTAGTACTATTAACTCAAACTATACTTAGCTTTAGACTTTTTGACACTGTGTGAAAAATCTCCAGCAGGGATATTTTATTATGATATTTATAAATACGAATAATTCCATAATTACAAATAATTAACATATAAAAACCATAACATATACCATTAAATTTGATTAAACATCTTTCTCACTCTACATTTCAAATGTAGTGTCATACAACATGTAGGTATATATTTAGGTTAATTTTATATAGTTATTTTTAATTATTATTTAGATATACTACTAATATTATGACTAAAACCCACAACTAAATATTTTTCTCACATTTCATACCTACTTGTGGTGTGACTCTATCATACCACACGTAGGTATGAAGTTGAAGGATTCTATCTAATTTTCGTAGATTATTTTTCCAATTTCCGCAGTTTATTTATACCTACTAATATTTTAAATTATAGTATAAGTTTATACCGAACTACGATTAAATATTTTTCTTAAATTACAAATGTAGAGCCATACTACACGTAGGTATAAAGTTCCCGGTAATTTTCCAATTTCCACAGTTTATTTATTCCTACTAATATTTTAAATTATTATCTAGGTATATGTCTATCCACTAACACAGGTACAGTTTGTCTTAATATATGTAATGGAGGTCATATAAACCTTCTAGAAGAATAATCGAATCTGGGTATAATAGTAAAAATATAATATTAAAATCCGTCGCGAGGTTTAAAAGTAGTAAGCAAGGAAATAGATGACAAAGTAACGATTCCATTTTTTACTATTTATATTATATGAACTAGTAATTATCATAATATATGAATCTTAAATTTTAAAGGATTCAAAAACTGACAATATGATTTTTCAAGTCTTGCATTGGCGACTTTTAATTTGAAAGAACTTGAAACTTCAAATAACTGATTTATATGTAAAGAACATTTAAAAAAATACTTATCTATGTATTAAATATCTAACTATTATACTTATATTAAAAAACAATTTGTCTTCTTTCATAAATATATATTTTTATTTACATTTAAACTAGTCCGTGTTATTTAAAAAAAAAATCTATTTTTAAAATAATTTGACCCGTTATGTAGTTTATAAAAATACTTATTAGAAATTACCTATCCATATTTTTTCTCGCCAAATAAAATATATATGACTAAACTACCTAGTTAGTGTGATTTATCGCTAACTACACGACGGGAGTCAGAAATATAAATCCTAAGAAAAAGCTGGGATAAGTTCAATTTTCTTTTATCATGCATTTAAAGTGAATATAACATTTATACGTTTGTTTTTCTTTTTGTATATGTCTTTTGTTTTCTTGAATATTTACTGTATATTTTAAATAAATTTGCCGAAAGCATCTCGATTCTCGGTTTAAGTTACAGTAAAAGTGGCCGTAATTTTATTTATTATATGTTTTTGTACTTGTATAATAATTAAATTTAAATAAAAATATGTCATACCTATTTTTTTTTCTGAATTGACAATAACTTTATTTTGTAATAACCAACAAAATAGGGTCATGTATCTAGCTGTGCTCGTGATTTCACCCGCTTGAAATTTATAGCCTATATGTTATTCTGATGTATAATGCTATACTGCAAAGTTACATCAAAATCCATTGAGTAGTTTTTGAATGAAAGATTAACAATCATCCATCCTTCTGTACATTCATACTCATAAACTATCGCGTTTATAATATTAGTAAGATAATATAGAATTATTAACTATTTGTTAATAAAATGCCTATATGTTTATTATGAATTGAAAGTTATAGATTAATATTTTATTCAGGTATTTCAGACGGCATCCTACGACTACTTATCGCTATAGTATCACTTTCGCGTTTATTATACTAATAAGATGCATCTGTGAATCTGTGACATGCAATTAGTTCACAGACAGATAGATTGATTGATGCAATTTCAAGTTATTGTACACTTATTTTCTAGTTGTCGAAAGAATTTAACCAAATTTATACGTCGGGCTTTTAGTATCATTGTACTGGTTTGTGATATGATTACCCACATCGCTTATATTTTTAATGTAATTGGAATGGCAAGCATTAAGATGGCCTGAATAGAAAAAGAGATAGAGGATATGGACGACTCGTTTTAGAAACAGTAAAACGAATATAAAACCTGAACGTAATGACAAATAAAAAAACTTCTATATTTTTAAAAATTGAGATGTAAAAAGAAAATTAAAATTAAACCACAATAGAGGACGTCCTCCAGTTGCCTGGTAGAGCAGCGTGAGTAATCTTATTGCGACGGAAAAATTGCCCAACTCTAAACCCAGGACAGATTGGTCTGGAGACGCAAATTTAGGAGAGTCAACCTCACATAAAGTGCAACACTTCAAAGAAGAGAGATAGCTACTTAAAAAAATGACGCGGTCATTATTTATACGTATAATTAGTAAATAACGGGATCTCACCACGTTTTATATTTATTGAGTTCCCGATATTTCGGCATTGTTTCAACTACCGGATCACGGGTAAACTGTTTACCCGTGATCATGGCGATTGCTATTTATACGTTTAAAAAAATGAGTATCCGTATATGTACATCAGATATATCCGGATAAATCCGTCGGAGCTATACCCGGGCGGCGGGCTACACCGGGCGGCGCAATATCCGTACCGCCTCTATTCCACTTATTTGATCTGCCTACCTACCCACCTACTAGATATGTGTGACAGTATATACATACTAGCGACTCCCCCGGCTTCACACGGGTGCATTACAAATCTTTGACTTTCTAGGTTATATACTATACAATATTATATATACAAACCTTCCTATTTAATCGCTCTATATATTGCTGAACTGTATTAAAATCATAGTTGTTATTATTTTGAAAAGAAAAATTTACCTACTGCGAAAGAAATACCTTCAAAGTGGAAAATTTAAAATAATATTCAAAACTACGGAGGTTTGAAAATTATATTAAATTTTCCATTTTATTGTATTATTCTGTCATGTGATCATTTTGGTATGAAGAATGCAAGAATTACCTACTTTCAGATTTGCACTTTCCGTTTCTTGATTAAAATTTTGTACTTTCATGAATTATTGTAAACTTTACGACTAACCTTGTACAATAAATACTATGTTAAACTCAAGGTACTTTAACAACACGGTGATCTAGCAGTTTAGCACACTGCCTTACTTCCGATGGTGGCAGGTTCCATTCCTCGCAAGATGCAATTTGTGTTCATGAGTATGATTATTTCTCTTCTATGTATATTTTCATATACATCTATGTATTTACAATATATACAATAAACAATCGGTTACCTAGTACTCATAACACAGCTTTGCTTACCTTGGGACTAAATACATTCATAATCATCCTTACATAGTATAAAACAAAGTCGCTACTGTCTGTTCGTTTATAGCATTTATATTACTTAACGTTTTTAAATACAAGATATACTGATTCAATAAGAAGGTTTAAATGTATAATACATGCGTGTAGTATAAAATAAATCGAGAAATTAAAAGATTTATAATGCACCCGTGCGAAGCCGGGTCAGGTCGCTAGTGTCACATAAAACTCGCTGGCTGTATAGACATCGTTCTGTCTTAACTATGAATATTAAAATCGCATTAGTATAATTAAAAAAAAAATTCCATAAATACCTTCTTAATTTTAGAAAAACTTTAAATCTATAGCACTGACAATATTATCTGATTACATTAATAATGACTGCGTAGTGACTTCTATGTTGATTATCGCATGCCTCTTACTTGTTATACTGTAATTATTTATATAAAAAAAAAAACATCTATTAAAAAGAGCAACACACAAGTTTCTTGCTCATTCTTCTTGTGATGAATCTGCATTCCGAATGAGTGGTAGAATCAAAATATGACTATTCAAAAGTGCTTGTAATGAGTTTATTTGAATAAAGATTATTTCTATTTCTATTTCTTTCATAAGAACCTTTTCCTCACAAATAAAAGAATTTTTGAAATCGGTCCAGCCGTTCACACGATGCCATGACCAAGGGAAATAATAATCTTTATATATCATCAACATCATCATCTTCTTCCTTATCCCATTTATTTGGAGTCGTAATATATTTTTCTCTTCCATTCGTCCCGTTCGTAGTCATCTCGTTATTATACTCCCTTTCTTACAATATTATTTTTATATATATTAGCTAGTTTATATATGTGGGATTGGTATGTAACGGAACGACTGTGTCAATTGAATGATGTGGATGAATTGAAACGTGAATGACGAGAGAATGGATATATAAGTGAAGGGAAAAGAATGAACGAGTGAGTTGAAAGGTAGAAGGAACGACGAATATTTTTTTTTTTACTGTTCACACAGCGCCATCTAGACCCAAGTTAAGTTAGCTAAAGCTTGTGTTATGGGTACTAGATAACTGATACATACACATAGATATTTTTTTTTTGTAAATACATACATATTATACATAGAAATTATCCAGACCGCTACAAAAAATTATACTCAGGAATACAAATGTTTATGCCGTGCGAGGAATCGAAACCGGGACCATTGGTCGTAAAGCGGTGTACTAGACCGCTAGACCACCGAGGTCGTCATATTTTTTGCTGGATATTAGTGCTTTCTTGTAATATCTGAAATTAAATTCGTAACGCGCAAAAGTTCTATTATTTCGACTGTCCGAACCTACATATATATAAATAAAATCAAATTTATTTGCGATCAACATAGGTATACGTAGGTTATAATCTATACATATAAATAAAATTGGAGTGTCT